GTAACCGAGTCTCGCACCAGGAATGGCGAGCAGACAAGGCGGTTCATTCAATTCCAGTCTCGGCAGGAGGAAATCGCCTCCCGCTAGCCCAGTCCTGCGAAAACCAGAGAGCGGGAGGGAGGAACTTACCTAGCAGAAAATATACAATAAACATGGTTCTCGGCTTACTTTTCTCGTGCTTGACTGTCCGACGGCACCGGTGTGCCTTTGCCTTTGGGGAACATTGTTTTGTGTGGGAGGACGCCCGCCTTCTCGGTCTTTTTATCGCTAATTCATCTGTCAGTTCATCGCGGCCAAGACCCTCTCGCACTCCAACCGCACTCCTCCTCAACCCGACGACACAACCGAGCCTGGTCCGGAGGGGGGAAGAGGCGGGTCCATAACTTGACTGATGGCCCGAAGAGCCAATCAGAGCGCAGTGTTTCTTTTAAGGTCTGTCCTTTTCTGTTGATTTCAGTTTGTTGATCTGACGTCGTTGACAAAGCTACCATATGTCAGTGCGTCTAATTTAATAAGGAAATTAATAGTTCTACAACTCATGTCTTAACATCTACCAGACAGATCTAGTAAATGTACCAGTTATTTAGTGCAACTTTGTGGCGATGCAATTCTGACTGTTTACGTGTTTAGAAAATGGTGCCGATATAAAAAGGTGTAACTTTCTGTCTGTCTATCTATCGCTCTAGTTTAAAAACCCATCTTTTGTGTTCAAGCATGAAGAGCTTATTAATACTCTCTCGTATGGTTCATTTTATTTTATCGTGCTGTTTTTTATTTTCCAATCCATGCTCCCTTTTTGAGTACTTTTTGTCACAGTACCAAACACTGTGGCAGGGATAGTAGCCTCAAACAAAGTAGACTCTAGATTGGGTTTCACAGATCCAGAGATTATAATAATACATGATATTATTGTATTGCATTATCATGTATTAAAATATATTTGACGATTAATTGCTTTGATATAAAAACAAAAACAAAAAAGCACCGGAAAATACTTGTATATTAAATATTTGGAAAGTAATGTGTAATTATTTAATACAATACAAAATAAATGCTCTTAATTCTTACAGAATGCACCAGGAACTGTTCGAATATATACTATATATTTTTACTATAAGATAAAAATGCTGGAGTATTTCTGTAATGACCAAACAAGTACATTACAAAAGTGCGTACCATTTTATAAGAGCCCTACACTGAAAAACAAAAGAATATGACGCGACTTCTGTTCCACCTTAAAAAACTAGACATCGCAGTAAACAGTAGAAGGAATGGCCGCCCACCCTCCGCCCACCTCCTCCCCTCCTACAGTGGTGAAAGTCTTCTGTAAAGCCGCTCAAGTGTGTGAAAAAAGAGGCGGTCACTCGGTGTGGGCCGGTGTTTACTATACACAGTAAGAACCACAGACTTTGTCACGACTTGACCACCACTACGAGCTGAATCCTTTTGTGTAAGTATTTTGTTTTTTACACGATAGTTTTGTCTCACAGTGACGATTGATTTGTGTGAAACAAACAGCACTGCCAAATAACGCAGTTGGTGGCACATGTGACAGGTTGGGCTTCTATGTTTCATATTATGCAAGCTGCAGCAGCAGACTGGGGGTCACGGGTGAAAGTGTCATTTCAGTTGAAGTGATTTTGAAGGTCATTGCATGGACTTGATTCCACTCTTGGAGGCAACTTAAATTATAGTATAACAATTTATTGACAACTTGCAACGGTGAATAATATTTAAGGGGAAATATTTGATAAAAGTTTGCAGCAATTTTTGGTCATAAATATAGGTCATGCATTTCTACCCCTGCCCCCTGTCAGTGGGTGTGCTATGAATACAGCTTGAATGTCCTGGTTCTCAGGACTCAACTTTTGTAAATCACATTTATCCATTTGACCTGTTTACCCCCCACTACCAAACAAGTAATACAACTAATGCTGGGCACCAACTATTGTCAACTGGATATGAAAAAAAATCATGTGCAAAATATTGGTCATGGTTAAATGATGAAATTATCCACCAACGTTACCAGGCATTTTTACGCTCCACTCACAAGTGTTTTGGTGCTGTGCAGGCATTTTTACGCTCCACTCACAAGTCAATGAGCCGTGGCTGCCCATGAACCTGTCACTGGTTCACCACCGTTCTATCCTTGGAGAACTTTTGCAGACACTCATCAGTGCAGGCAGAGAACGTCCTGCAAGTGCTGTGGTTTTTAGGATGCGAATGACACAGTCACAGTCTTGTCGCCGTCACAATTTGACCTTTGACCAAACGTACCTAAAGGCCTTTCATTTGCCGATGTTTTAGTGTTTGTAACATATGTCCTTTGAATAGAGGTTATTGTTGACATTTTTACATGGTTATGGCAAATTAAGGACTGAAAACGTGCGTCACAAATGGTGAATTGAAACTTTTACAAATCAGTTACGAGGCACCTGGAAAAAGGTGTTTGATTGTTGTTAGGCCACATCTGTGACATGTTCAGATGTGAATGAAATAAGTGCATAACAATCGACTGTGAAACCTCTCTCTCGGATCGTTGAAGTTTTGTATTAACAAACTTACCGTTACCTCAACGGGTAAAGCCATCCGCTATGTTATATAAATTTGCGTCATGTTGTGAAAGACTTGTGAGAGAACAAGCTGCATTAGAGAATGGAATCACAGGAACGATTTCCTAAATTGGCTTTGTTAGTTTGATCCAAGATTCTTCGGTCTTCTTGCCAACTCTTAAGTCCCTGGAGGTTTTTATGAATGTAAACTGAAGTGAAGTGCTTTGAGTTTCCATCAGGTCTGTCTTGAGAGGCAAAATATTCAAAACGGATCCTCCTTTCTGCGCTCTGTGTCTGGGTAGCTGTAAGAACATGACATCAGCGGGAGAAGATGGCAACGCGTTGCTGGACCCTCTGTTTATTGAAGAGAACGAGGAGGACTACAGAAACCCCACTGAAGTGAAAATGAGTCAGATTGTGCTGCCCTGCCACGCCAACCACTGTGGGGAGCTGAGTGTTGGACAGCTGCTGAAATGGATGGACTCCACAGCCTGTTTGTCTGGTAGGACAGGATCTAAAAAAAATGAAAACAGATGACCATGTACTGCTTTACAACAGGAGAACACAGTTCCCCATGTTCCACACCGCTAAGATTTTTCTACATAAAATTAGTTGTGCTGTTTACTGGTCCTTGTGACCCTAAAAGCAGTTGATGGTAAAGAGATTATTTTACTGTTTAGATGTAGATATTTTTTGACTCTATACTGTAAATGACATGATTCAGAAAGGAAAAGTTTTGCACCGCGTTAAACAAATCTTCAAACTGACATCGTTGTCACATTAAACAATATGTCAATTAAACAATGGAAGAAAAAAGAATAAAAATTAAAAAAATTTAATTGAACTTTGGGAATAGTTATCGCTGCCAGCTGAACAGAAACTTAACAGATATTTTACATCAAAAGCATGTTCTAATAAACAAATTAACACACACAGTCCTGGCCTAATACGCCACAACCGAAAAATGACCTGGTGAGGTGCAGACTCCTCATCTGTCCACTAGGCTGTTCAAACCCAGAGGAGACATTTTTTTTCTTATTCATCTTCTTGTATCGTAACAGAACACATTTTACAGCGAGTCTCGCTCCTTTCTCTGTCCCTGATGTTAAGATACCGTCAAACTGCTGACATGGTTGACCTATTTACACAAAACACCCATGAGGGAAATGAGACGCTGAACTGCAGTAGGAAAAACACACAACACTGATCAGTGCGTAGCAGGTGGTGAGAAGAAAACAAACATTTCAATTCAAACATACATCGATGTTGTGTCTTTGTGTTACTTTTTACTTGACTTCATATTCATATCTTGCACAGTTTTTGCAGAGCAAACGTTGCATTATGCCTGAGCTCTGCTTCGTGCTTCACCAAATATTTGTCTAATCTCTTCTCTGCCAGCCGAGAGACATGCAGGTTGTTCCTGTATCACCGCTTCTGTGGACGACATCAATTTTGAACATACAATAGGGTAAGGTGTTGACGTTAATGCTGCTCTGACAAGCCTATCTACAGAATACAAATGCACATTAAGGAGAGACAAAATTGATGTGTTAATTATGCTATTTTTTTTTAAATAATCACATTTAAAATTTCAGTAGATGCTCTCACTGTGTATCCAATAATTCCACCTTTTTCTGACATTTTTCCATATAAATATTATGATGATTAACCCCAATCTCAGTTGGTCACAATTTAAAGAGATTAATCCACACATACCCTGTGATTGATCAGATTTTAATTTTAATCATATGACGTCAGTCCTTAACAAAATTTCAACTAATTTAGGACCTGGAAAGGATTGTAGCTTGTCTTAGTTTTTATGTGTTTTCAGTTGTGATAGTTACTGATTTTTATATGTTAATTCTTTTTTTGGTTTTCTAGAATCACAGGTTGTAGACGTGGTTACTCTGTGGATTGGAAATCCTTGTGTTTGTTGTACATTTGTTGGTTCATGTTAATGGTAAAGCCCATGTCTGTCTTCTACAGAGTGGGGAAAGTTGTCAACATCATAGCAAAGGTCAACAGAGCCTTCACATCCAGCATGGAGGTTGGTGGGTGTGCATTTTTAGATATTATTTAGAAGAGTTTGGTTAACAAACCTGAAGTTAAAAGACACATGCGTGAAATCTCTACTTTTCAGGTGGGAATATTAGTGACCTGTGAAGACCTTTACACCGACCGGCAGTGGAAGATTTGTCACGCCTTTGCGACGTTTGTAGCCAGACGAACTGAAGCTGGAAAGGTAAACTACAGACACAAGTGCAGTTTCCCCAATACTTGTTCAGTATCCCCAGAGGTTTTTCTTTTTTTGCATCATGTGTTCACAGGTGCAGCTGAACCAAGTGGTTCCTCACACACAAATGGAGCAGATGGAGTACAGCCTGGCAGCAGAGAGGAGGAGGATGCGGCTCATCCATGCTGAGATCATCACAGATCTGTTGAACAGCAGCACAGCTCAACTGGGTATGGGACTAGGATACATTATAGGTTTATAACCTGGTCCTCGGTCACCTGTCGTCAACGTCTAACACTAGCTTTGTCCACCAGGAGAATGTCAGGAGTACACAGGGGCAGTGGCAGCTGAGAGAACACGAGTGGAGAGCGTGGAGCTGGTCTTACCTCCACATGCCAACCACCAGGTCAGCACCTTTGGAGGCCAGATCATGGCGTGGATGGAGAATGTGGCTACAATTGCAGCAAGGTATGAACTGAATGCGCTGCGTTTAAAAGTCTCTACCTGATTAATGCTACGTCCAGTTCCCCCGCAGGACCCCTAGAGGGATTAAGTGGTAGAAGATAAATGAGTGCTAAGCTGTTTGTACAGGCAGTTGAGAAAGTCCTAAAGCCAAGTGAAATTGTTCAGCTGATTTAATCTTATTAGAACTAACCTAAAAACAAAGGCCTGCTAACAGCTTTTCTGATGTTGACAAATAATTGTTAATGATTATATTTAAAGGTCTTTATCTTTGGTTTTAGTCGCTTGTGCAACGCTCACCCAACCCTAAGGACCATTGATATGTTCCATTTCCGTGGACCATCACACATCGGTGACCGACTGGTGCTGAAAGCCATTGTCAACAATTCCTTCAAGCACAGGTGAGGCGGCAGACAGACACCCTGCACAGTGTACGGTGTTTTTATGCAAAGTCCTTTTGAAAACCCATTAGCCTACACACTCTGTGTGCTGCAGCATGGAGGTGGGAGTGTGTGCCGAGGCCTACCAGGGCAGAGAACCTCTCCGTCATATAAATAGTGCTTTTATGACCTTTGAGGTTCTGGACAGTGAGGGAAAAACATGCACTCTTCCTCACATACGACCTGAGCCTGTGGTGAGTTTTCCAAATATCTTGTTCCTGCGTCTTAGGGATGAAGTGTGTGAATGAAGACGAACACTTTACCTTAACAATCAATCGACATTAGTCACGGTAATCATACAGAAAAAAAATGACTTTAACATTTTTAAATCTGAGTTTCCTTTTGTTTTCATTCATTTGTTACGCTCAAAACTTTTGGACAGGACGGTAAAAGACGTTATCAAGAAGCCATCGCAAGAAGGAAAATTCGTCTTGATAGGTCAGTAACTTTTTTCTCACAATTCAACACGGTGACGATCGAAGTGAAAACATACAACATATTATATCACATGTAAAAACATGAATGATGTGTTTATCTTGAATAACAACTACAACATCAACAACTACCAAAAGAAAAGAAAAAAAGTATTATATCTCCTACAATTGTTGTAAATAAAAACAAGCTACCGTTTTTATTTGAACACTGGATCCAGTTGCTCACCTGTTCTTTATTCAAAGAAGTGCAAACAAAGTGTGATTGTGACAACAAAGCCTTTCTCAACAAAGCGTTTGTTCAGTTTCTGGCTGTGTGTTTTGAGGACAAGGGCAAAGATTTGAAAAGAGCTCAGACATGAGAATATGCAATGTTTTTATTGGATCGGTTGTCCTGCAATGTTGCCTGGTCTCCACGACACCAAGGTCTTTGTCCCTACGTTTATTATTGATTAAAATGTTCAGACGATGAAGGATCTTAAAGAGTACCACGAAAAAGCACAACCTTGTGTTTAAGCCCTTATTTGACCAATTGCGTCATAGATAACAAATGAAATGGGTTCATGTTTTTTTAAAAACCGACATATTTTATCGATACATAACATCGGCTGCATTAGTGAATTACGGTATTGATGGAAACGAGCAGAGACTTGCAGTGTGTTCAGAGTTGGTTCTGTCCGGTGTTTTCTGTAGAAACCATTGTTCACTCTGCTCTGCAGCAGCACATGACTTGGCAGAACAGCATCTTACAGCTGATATGACTTTGATGCAGACTGGGTCAAGTATAATAGGTTCATTGTTTTAATTTATAAAGCACCCCCCCACAATGTAATGCCCAGTTGTATAGGGATATGCCACAGCTGCCAGTCAAAAGCAAACACTGCCACAGCTGTTTGCCTTAATATTTTTATTGTGGTCTTAAAGTGGTGATTATCGCTGCTCTTCATGTTCAACAGGAAATACATTATCTCCTGCAAGCAAACTGAAGTGCCTTTGTCTGTACCCTGGGATCCAAGTAACCAGGTAATGTCATTTCAGATGAATACACATGCTTTGTAAAAAGTAAAATTACAGCCATGACAGTTGTATTAAAGTCCCTGAGTCTCTTTGTACAGATGTACCTGAGCTACAACAATGTATCAGCACTGAAACTAATGGACACTAGAAACAACTGGGTGTTAACGTCTGAGAAAAACAAGGTCAGTGGGTTTTTTTTTTAAGTGTTAAAACCTCAACATAAAGCCATTTTTTTTCAATGTTGCGAAATGGCACCACATTAACATGCCATCAGCAATTACCAAGCAGTTCTGTCAACAACAAAGTTGGCGTGCGCTTGAGCACCTGCGGTAACTCCACTCACACTAACCTGACCTGTTTTATTGAGGCTGTGATCTGTTTCTTAAAGGTCCGACTCTACACACTGGAGGAAAACCATGTGCTGTGTTTCAAGGTGGAGATGCACGTCAGTGTGGCAGCAGAGCAGACCTTCCACCTGCTCTCAGACCTGAGGAGGAGGAAAGAGGGGGACCCACACTACAAGTCAGTTTGGTTTTTCATATAACACAGCTTAGAGTCCAAAAGTGCTTACGCAAGACAGACAAAAGAGAGAAATAGGCAGAAATCTTTGAGTTATATAACAAAACGGAAACACAGGTTGATAGAAAAAAAAAACAACAACAAAGAAACAAGTGCACATGGTCAACGGTCAAAGTAATCGTTGATTACTGTGTGTTTCTGCAGGGAGTGTGAGGTGATCAACCAGGCAGATGAAGATGACACCCTTTACCGAGTAGCTACACCCTCGGTAGGTAGAGGGGGCAAAGGTCAGGACTTTATCTTACTGGCGTCAAGGAGGAGGCCATGTGATGCCAGGTAGAGTAAAAAAAAAAAACAACACAGCACTTTATTCTTGTCACGGAACAAAAACGATCAGTTTTACCACCGTTTCTTTCATGATGTCTTTTTTATGATGTTCTGTTTCACCACAGTGACCCATACTTGATTGCTCTGCGCTCTGTTTCCATGCCTACGCACCCGCCGACCGATGACTACACCCGCGGAGAAGTGCTCTGTGCTGGCTTCACAATCTGGGACGAGTCAGACGCCAATGTCACCAAGGTTGGTTTAATCAATAGTAAGGTATCTGTATTAAACCAAAAATATGAAAACACATGCTGTTGTTTTAGATCACCTACTACAACCAGGCCACACCAGGAGTCCTTCCCTACATCTCTACAGACATCGCCGGCCTCTCGTCCAGCTTTTACAGCGTTTTCTCTGCCTGTAGCCACTTTCTAGAGGCCAACAAGGAGAACCTGGCTGCTCACTGCACTGTAACAGAATAGTACTAGCAGGAAGTACTGGAGTACAATAAAAAAGATGAGTAGGTGACAAGGTGGAAAGTTATACGACTACTTGGAAGTAACAGACAGAGAAAGTTGACCTCTCAGGGGGCAGATTTTCAGAGTTGTCCACCTTTACATCTGCTCAAAATATTCTTACAGGTGCTGAGCAACATGAGCCTGTTCCTAACAAAACAGCTGATGTTGCATATATGGTACTTTTAATCCTAATTTCTTGAATTTTAAAATTCAATAAGGCTAGTCCTTAATTCAAAATGGCGCCTCCAACTGGTCGTCTGCAGTAGCTCAACGCACAAGACTTTTCCCAGTGTTGGATCAGTAAAGTTTTATCTAATCTTTATTTGATCTAAACTCAGTTTTATAGCCTTTCAATACTCTGTCAAACTTTCAGCTAATTCTATGCTGCACAATATACGTTACTATTGCTACTGCACTGAGTGGCAGTGGAATAAGCACTTTGTTTTTGTCTTTATTCTGTCTTTCATTGAGGTCAGTAAAATGTAGAAAACCTGTGCAATAGTAGTTTGTAGGTCGAGTGTTGGTAAATCTTTTGTTTTGTATAAATATATTATTTTGACATGCAGTAATCATATGACAACTTTTATGACTGGAGTCGAATGTAGTTTATAACTGATTAAGATTTAGATTTTCTACCTCATTAGAAGTGTTTTTAACAAATTGATTAAAACGAACATTTCATTCTAAATAGTTTTTCAGATGTATTTAAGATATGATAAGTTATGTCATATTTTGTAAGAACTGCACTTGGATTTTGTTCATATGCACAGTCACTGTCTAGATCTTACCATGACTGGAGTCTTGATTTAACCTGAACAATAAAAACAGTTGATTATTATCTTTTTTGTGAGCTTTCTGATGCACCCTCAGCTCTCCCTGCTGCATTCTTGCCATTCCTTCTAGTTCACTTTATGAACAAAAATAAATACAAATACAGCCTGAAGTTTATTTTGATTTTGACGTGCAATTGGAATCTGCTGAAAAAGACTAAACCGAGCTTCTGGTTCTTTCATACATTTGGAATCTGGTGGAAAAGACTAAACCGAGCTTCTGGTTCTTATGGATTTGGTGATTATCCAGGTATCAGACAGCAAACAAAGAGACCAAGAGTGTACCTGGTTATATTCCATGGTTTAAATAATGGCACACGGTACTTTGAGACTAGTGTCAACCCGTAATCCCTTTAGAACAAATCCATTTCAAGCATTGCTGAGTGCCTTGTGCGGTTTTACCTAGTAGCTTGTTGTGCCTCCTGCCAATTTGCATTGCTCTGCATCAGCATATTCTTGCTTTTAGTCAGGAAGGCAAGCTGCCACTTGAAGCCAGTCTTCCTCCTCCTCCTCCTCCTCTTCTTTCCCTTTCCTGTTCTTGCGGCATGTTGAGGCTATCAACACTGACAATAATTCAACGTGGATGGGGGTGGCACAGGTATACAGTAACTCTACCAGCACAAAGTAACAGGTAATGGACAACCCCTGGAAAATACCCATGGGAATGAATAGGAAGTACATAGGACAAAAAAAATGAGAATTACATCTGCAACTTAATATTAAAACACAAACGTAATTAAAGCATACAGTAAATTACATAGTGAGACTGTAGTCCAGGGGTCACCAGCGTGGTGCCCTGGGGTCACCTGGTAGCCCCCATGGACTACCTAAGGTGCCCATGGTTCTAAAAAATTGACTGTTATTGTTCTTTCTGAATCAGTTACACTGGACTCTTATTGTTCTTTCTGAATCAGTTACACTTGCAATGATATTCAAATAGTTACTATTTTGTATTATTATTTATTACATATTTTACTATTTATTATTATTATTTATTACGCATTTATTATTATTTATTATTATTGCATTATTCCGAAAGTACTAAGTACGCTTTACGTAGCTCTCAGTTTCACAGAGGTTGATGACGCCTGCTATAGACCATATATAACATATACAGCCTGTCTGCACATTGAAAAACACCTAGAGCATCAGTTCGTCCTCCACAGCAGTTGGTGGCGGTAATGCACCGAACGTTGTTTTTGAATCTCGGGCAGATGGTGAGGACGATGAAGACGTGGGATGTTGACACTGTTCCACAGAAACCTGTCATTTATACTTTCTTCGCTGCTTTGAAGTGACATATCTAATGGACAAAATAAACAGTGTCGGCATGAAACAGCAGCGTGATCTAAAGCTACAGGCAGCCACGAGAGAGAAACTGCGGAAGTTCGATTCTCTGCGAGGTAAGTTTAAAAAACAAAAAAAACAACCCGGCGTTACTGCGGTAACGATGAGTTTGAAACTTTGATACTTTCTATCCGGCGTTAGTGCGGTAACAATGAGTTTGAAACTTTGATACTTTCTATTTAATGTGTGCCGTTGAATTAAAGGTCGAGAGGTGCAGGACGGTGAGTTTTGGGACGTAGTAGTTCTGACCGCAGCTGACCACAGTCAGAGAGAAGCCTACGAGCTGCAGGTCCGAGGAAAAGTGGACAGAAGAGAACTACCACTGGGAGTCCACTACAAGGTCTACTCCGATCCACCTGGACCGAAGATAGGTGACCACTACACTACACTACACGTCATATATGAGCATCATCAGATATGTTTACGTTAAATTAATACTTGTTTGTTTTTTAATAAACAATTGAAAGAAGTAGTTTGGATTTATTTGTCGTGTTAAATGTTTAAACTTATATAAAACCTGTGTTAAAATGCCTAAAGATTTGTCATCGACACAACATCCCTGTTTGACTGTTTACTTTGTTATTTACTCTATTTGTTTAGCTTTATAGTAATTCAATCTTGGTTCAAATCCTAGACACAAGTCAAATATACTTGACACATGGTAAATAAATTGAATTACTAATAATACATTTTTATTCTTTTCTTTTTTTACCAATCAGAAGCATTGTTTAAATAACATTGTTTATTTCATTGTTACTTTTTATGTTAGTATGTTTGTTTTGTACATTTTATGTTTGTTTTGCTCTTTTTGTTTTTATATATTACGCAGTATAAATGCTCTAGTCATAATGTCACACTTTATGTTTGTAAGGAAATGGAGGTTCTACTCTGTACGCGCTGCAGCAGCTGGATGAGGAGTATGGCAGCGCTCTGAGCAGGATGAGAATTATCCTAATCCATGCAGGTTTGCAAAAACAAAATCTATTTGTTCTAATATTTCAGTTAAACTTTACACCAACAACCAATATGACATGGGTGTTTTCACACTTTTAACTTTTGCTTTGTCCAATCAGGAGGCTTCAGTCAGCGTTTGCCCAGTGCCAGCGCTCTGGGGAAGATCTTCACCGCAGTGCCACTGGGTGACCCTCTCTACCAGATGTTGGAGCTCAAACTGGCCATGTATGTGGACTTCCCTTCCCATATGAATCCTGGTGTCCTGGTGACCTGTGCAGATGACATTGAGCTGTACAGCAGTGCAGAAAATGAAAATATCAGGTTCAATAAACCTGGCTTCACGGCACTGGCCCACCCCTCGACACTGTCCATCGGAACCACACATGGAGTTTTTGTCCTGGATTCATGTGAAAAGTCACCTGAGGTGGAGATGGAGAACAGTCTGTGTTTGCGCTTTCTTCACAAACCGAGCATCGAGAAGATGCATGACTGTGGTGCAGTGTGTAAGTGGCAGAGTGGATGTTCCTCTCCGCCTGACGCTGAGTTCGTCTACACAGACAGCACCTATTACGTTGATTTCCAAACGGTGAAGTCTCTACAGCATCTGCTGAAGGAGGTGGGCCCTGTTAACTGTGAGATTGATGCATACGGGGACTTTCTGCAAGCCCTGGGGCCTAAAGCTACGGTAGAGTACACCAGCAACACCGCGAACGTCACTAAAGAGGAGCAAGGTCTGGTTGACGTCCGCAAGAAGATCTTTCATCTTCTAAATGGAACCCCTTTGAATGTGATCCTTCTCAACAACTCAAAGTTCTACCACATTGGGACAACGTCAGAATACTTGTTTCACCTCACAGAGGACGCGGCGCTGCGGCGTGAGCTGGGCCTCCTGTCGTCTGCCTTTAGCGTAGACATGGACGAGAACCCTGGCAGCTGTGTTATGTACAGCAGTCTTGATCCCAGTTGCACCGTGGGAGCTGGGTCAGTGGTGGAGTACTGCAGGCTGGGAGCGGGAGCATCGGTCGGTCAGGGCTCCGTCGTCAGCAGCTGTTGGGTCGGCCCGGGCCTCTCAGTCCCCGATGCCGTCTTCATGCATTCACTTAGCGTGACCCGCGAGAACCAAACCGGGTTTGTAACTGTCGCTTTTGGGATCAATGACAATCTGAAGAATGCGGAGAGCCCGGCTCACATGTTAGAGCTTAAGTTTTCTGAAGTGAGTTTAGCAGAATGTCTGTCCCGTTGGAGGATGGAGAAGGAACTCCTGACGTTCTACGGCGACGTGTCCAGCTGTAGTCTGTGGAATGCCTCTCTGTTCCCCGTTGGACCAGATCTACGAAGCTCGTTCTCACTGACTCTGAAGATGCTTCAGGCCGTTCTCAGTGGCTCCACGTTTACTTTACCCACAGGAACAGAACTGATGTCCATGCAGGAGTGTTTACAGAGTAAGAACTTGGAGGAGATGTTGACATTCAGGGCGGGCCTCTACGATGACATCATCAGACAGAAAGGACCCAGCAGCTGAACCTGTTTATTTTGTATCATGCTAGTAGCATTCAATGTATACAATGGTATACAATAATGGTTTTCTCAACACACACTCAGGGCAAGATATTTAACACTAAAATGGTGGTATTTCATAATCAATGACTATGGACTATGGCACAAGGTCAGAGGTGGTATCACACCTCTGACCTTGTGACTTTACATTCTGCCCCTCCATCCCCTCCTTTCTGCAACGACCCTTGTCACGGCTATGCAGCCTCTTTGAGGCTAAATACCAGAACTTCCCAGTAGTCAGTCAGAACTGAAGAAGCCTCTTGGATGAAGAGGTGAAACGTCTTCAAAAAACCTACTCAGTCCAGTTGCCCTGAACAAAATTATTTTTGGATTAAATGACCTGGATGACTGAGAACCAACGCAGACACTTTAAAAATGCACTTTTTCATTTTAAGTTTGGGAAATGAAGTCAAATTTATTATGTTTTCTGCACTTGTTACATTGTTATGAGGGTCATGTAGGTGGAACTGTTATTGACGTATTTAAATGGAACTGGTGGCTGGAGGGATATGGTACGAATATGAAGACAATAAAGTTTGATACAGATCAGACAAAACCTTTTGTCAAAGTTTTTTTTCTTTTTTTCTCTTGGTCACATGTCTGTGAATATTCAGAGTGAGAAGACAGACGATGAGCTGCTGAATCACTAACAGGAGCTCAGAATGGTACTGTATAGAATCTCCAGTTCAGGTTTTTAATTTGATGGTACTGTATATGAGCCCCACCTCATTGTTCAACTGCAGGGAATGTAGGCCACATCCCCGCAGTACTGGTTTTGTAGCAGTCTGGTGTGAAGTAATAAATTGAGGAACTCACTTTCAAAGTTTTCCTTTACAGAGAAATGTGTGGTTTGAATTTGTATTTACATGCAAATTCCTACTGACTGCTCTATTTTCACAGTCACACGTATCTACATCTACAGAGGTCTGAGAACTGTAGCCGTTCAAAAGCGAAAGTACAAAAGTGATGTTCCCACCACCAGCAGCCTATCAGCGCATCGTTGGCCTTTTACACACGATGACCTAAACTAAACGTACAAGGGAAACAGCCTTGTCCGCAATCACATGGCTTGTGGGATAGATGTGGACCACGGGCCACCATTTGAACCACCAAAGTGAGGTATTCTACTGTAATTTCATCTGTTTTCTTAGGACAGAAAAATGAAAGGACATTTTTACACTTGTATACTATATACCATTGTTTCCCAAAGACTGGGTCGTGACCCTCAGGTGGGTCGCAAGAGGGTTTTTTTTTGGGTCGTCTCGCATCATGTTTCTCAGAAGTTTACGAATAATGTCTACTGACTCGGGTCGTGAAGGTTTGTGATTTTTATAATCTGGGTCCTCAGAAAAAATGTTTGCGAAACACTGCTCTGTACTGTATAAATATATAATGTACTAGTTTCTCTCTGTCTACAGATGAGTCCCATGTCGCCACTCAGTTGTCTTGTTTTACACTCGCTCACAGAGGCCGGGAGATCAGTTGTCATACTTGTTAAGCATTCCACCCAAAGGTGTTTATTTATAGCTCACGGCCGTGATCCCCCTTTATCTGGACCAGAGCGATTGTGGCTCCGAGTGAAGCGATTGTGTTTCTGCGTCTACACTTTTTCAGCCAACGACACAGCACCTGCAACAGCAGAGCAGCTTTATCAATGGGAAACTACAAGTCCAGACCTTCTCAGACGTGCACAGGTAACAACGATGTTTTGGTTTTTTTTATATAACGGTGTGTTGATCTTGAAGTGTTCGATAAACTTTTAGCTGTTTAATTGTTGGCTGTTGCCGAGAAGACGAGTGGAAGAAGAAGGTGGGAGAGTCGTATTCTGTCATCGTTGAGAGGTTGGAAGATGACCTGGAGCTTAAAGACACTGAGGTTGCAGACCTCAATCTAGCCTTTGGGTGAGGGGTCGTTTTATTTGGTTCAAGTGACAAAAATTAAGCAAGATTTGTCTTAACATTTGGGTGGTTTTATTCCCCCCGTGTGTGAGGATCAGTGTATCAGCCTCACACACACACACACGAGGCAGTGATGTTGTTTCTGTCCTTGGTTCAGTTCTGAGGAGGCTTTTCGGAAGGTGAACATCAACTACAGGACAGAGAAAGGGCTGTCACTGCTGCATCTCTGCTGCGTATGTGAAGGTATGCATGGCTGCCACGCTCTATTAATAACTCATAACCAGATCTGACAAGTGGTAGGAGGCATTACCATGGAGTGACGGTGGTTGTTGTGTCCACATAGACATTGTGCATGAGTGTGTGTTTTTATTTATATTTATTTATTTGGCCATACTTGTGTTTCAGGAAACACTAACCACATCAGAACCCTGATGCTTAAAGGCCTGCGCCCCTGCCGACTGTCGAGGAACGGATTCACTGCACTGCATCTGGCTGCTTACAAGGTGAACACGTGAGACTGGAATTTAAATTCCAAGGTAACATCTTTTTCTTGTGCTACCTGACACCTGGAAAAAAAAAGAAAAAAGAAAAGCTTTCTCTGCTTTACCACTTGGTGGAGTGCAAGTTCCATCCAATCCCTAAGTGGTTTCCAGTATAAGTACAGCTGATGTTGGCGGTGGATATCAAAACCCCATGGTGCTACTTTGTGCTCGTTTCAGCTCTTTCTCCAGGGTGCTCGTTGGTGAAGTGATGGTAATTTGTCTAAAAGGTCATTTTGAATCAGAAACCTTGAAGAAGTACGACTGAGTTGAACATTACTGCTGTTATTCAATCAATCAAATTCAACACTTAAACCTTTTAAAACTAACTGTATTTTCTTTTTTCTTTTTCTTTTTTTTTCATTGGTGGATTTATATGGTTTAAATAAAACAGGACAATGCTGAGCTGCTGACTGCACTTCTTCATGGGGGCTCTGATGTGCAGCAGCTGGGGTACGGGGCCCTCACTGCCTTACATGTTGCTACTCTAGCAGGAAACCATGAGGTGAGTTAAACCTGGAATAAAATCCTCTGTATCCGTGGTTCACAAAACTGAAATCATCACTGATTCTTTCCAGGCAGCAGACATCCTCCTACAACACGGGGCCTGCGTGAATGTGCAGGACGCTGTGTTTTTCACTCCGCTGCATATCGCTTGCCACAACGGCCACGAGGAGGTGAACTGCTAAATAAACCGATTCATAAAAGCTGCCGAGACTTGAAGAGTTGCATATTGTACACATCCAGATGTGTCTGCACAGGTAGCAAAGCTGCTGCTGAAGTTTGGGGCAGATGTCAATGTGGGCGGAGAAGTGGGAGACCGGCCGCTGCACTTGGCTGCCGCCAAGGGATTCCTCAACATCGTCAAGCTGCTGATGGAAGAAGGAAGCAAAGCTAACGGTGAAACTGAATTGTCTTACAGTCGTTATAAGGCTGGCAATGTTTTGACGATGTCAATGAGAAGAAGTTTGAGAAAAGGCGAGAGCACAATTTTACGGTCAAGTAGAGCTGGATGTCATCTGCATATACAGTAAGTGTAATTAGATGAAGTATCTCAGGAAGATAGAAAAGAAACAGGTGGATGATGAACTGTGGCCTGAGGCCTCAGAAAAGAACATACACACAAACACAACACAGTGTACTCAAGATTTTGGATTTGTTTAAGCTAACATGCAACAGGTTTTGATAAAAATACTGGCTACAGTCTTCCTGGTTGTAAAAACAGGACTTTGTGCATGTTTAATCCAATGGATTCATTGGTAACATTTCAAAAACAAACATCATTTGTAAGCGATAGCCTTCTACTTTTTCTGCTCCTTCTGTTTCCAGTCAACTTGTAAGCGATAGCCTTCTACATTTTCTGCTCCTTCTGTTTCCAGTCAACGCTCAGGACAACGAAGACCACGTCCCTCTTCACTTCTGCGCTCGCTTTGGTCATCATGAGATTGTGCGTTTCCTCCTGCAGGGCAACTTTGACGTGCAACCTCACTCTGTCAACATCTACGGGGACACGCCTTTACACCTGTAAACACTTCGCTGTGGCGTGTGTTAGCGTATGTGTTTTTGGCCAACGTTCTGGAGACGGACTGAAATGTTGTCTTCCCTCAGGGCCTGCTACAACGGCAAATTCGCAGCAGTGAAGGAACTGGTGCAGCTCTCTGGCACAGAGAGTCTGCCCAAGGAGAACATCTTCAGCGAGACAGTACTTCACAGGTAGTACTACAGAGCTGTGTATTTCCCTCGTGTTGAATTCCTAATGATGAACACATACCATGTCTGACAGTGCATGTACCTACGGAAAAGACCTGGAGATGGTCAAGTTCCTGCTCAGTCAGAACGCTATGAGCATCAACCATCAGGGCAGAGATGGACACACAGGTGGTTCTGGACATCAGTCTAAACGTTCACCATGTCTGTAGTTAATTCAACCCTTATATGAGTCAGTCATTATTTCTGTGTTTAGCCCTTCACAGCGCCTGTTTCCACGGCCATATTCGCCTGGTTCAGTTTTTGCTGGACTGCGGTGCAGACATGAACATGGTCGCCTGTGACCCCAGCAGGTCCAGTGGGGAGAAGGAGGAGCAGACCTGTCTAATGTGGGCGTATGAAAAAGGTCGGTCTGGAAGCAACATTACAGACACCACTGATTAAAAAAAAAAAAAAAAAGAAAAAGTTTAACCTTAGGATTTCTGTGCTTTCCAGGTCATGATGAAAGAAAAACTCAGGATTTCTGTGCTTTCCAGGTCATGATGCCATTGTCACCTTACTGAAACACTACAAACGCCCGGACGACACTCCCTGCAATGAGTACTCCCAGCCAGGAGGTGGTGCGTATCCCGTTTGATGAGTCTGGTTAAACGTTGCATAATTTCCCCCTCAATGATCTGCCTGAACACACTCTCTCTCTCTGTCTCTCTGTCTCTCTGTTCCAGATGGGTCCTACGTTTCTGTCCCATCTCCTCTGGGGAAGATAAAAAGCATGACAAAAGGTAGCGAGCCGCAGCCAAACCCCAGCAGATACTTTCACAGCTCACATCACTGACAGCTGATGTTACAGCGGGTGGTGGCACAGCTGCTGCTGACAACAGCTGCTGCCCACTTCGTTTCTAACAAGTGAAAACAGCAATAGTGAGAACTAAAGATTCAACTCAGAAAAAAAAAAAATCAAAACCAGAACAATAACAATAACTATTTGGAAAATAGAAAGAATATCTGTGACCTTAACTGAAGGAAACGTCTGAATGAGGCTCAAATTACATACAGTTCTACTGTATATCAGTGTTTCCCAAACTCCTGGGAAACATGATGCAAGACGACCCGAAAAAATTCTCTTGTGACCCACGTGGGGGTCACGAACCAGTATTTGGGAAACAATGCTGTATATCATGTGGTACATCATTACAGTACCGTACCATAAACTTAAAAAGTCATTTCTGTAGAATCCAGATCACATATGTTCAAATAGTTGTTCTTGTTCAATCACATTAATTAAAACAATTAATATAAAGCCACACATTTAAAAATAACATAGTAAAAGAAAATATAAAATACACACAAACTCTGTTTGTGGCCCTCTGGTGGAAGGTCCAGGGAGTACACCGCCCTCTCCCTGACACTGATGTCAGTTATTTAATATTGTGACAGGTTCTGGGGAGAATGTGTCATTTTTATTTGCCTCTTGGTTACAGAGAAGGCAGAAGTCCTCCTGCTCAGGGTCAGCCTTCCGTCCCAGTTCCACCTTCAGCTGTCTGAGCTGGAATTTAACGAAATTATTGGATCAGGTACGTTTTATGTTTTTGAAGCAAGAAAATCTCCTCCTCCACCTCCATATTGACAACCACTTCTGTTTTATACTCAGGCTCCTTTGGCAGAGTCTACAAAGGCAAATACCGGAATAAAGTTGTGGCCATAAAACGGTAATCTTTTATCTTGTACACTAGAAAAAAAAAAAAAAAATTTTAACATCTTCTCCATTGAATTTAAATTGTTTCTCATTAACTCTGCAGCTACCGGGCCAACACGTACTGCTCCAAGTCTGACGTGGACATGTTCTGCAGAGAAGTCTCCATCCTCTGTCGTCTCAATCACCCCTGCATCATCCATTTCGTCGGGGCGTGTCTGGACGACCCCAGCCAGTTCGCCATCGTCACACAGTACGTCTCCGGAGGCTCACTGTTCTCCCTGCTGCACGAGCAGAAGAGGTGAGGACAGTGTGTGCACGCTATTCCCCAAGTAAGTCTCTGTTATCGACTCTTTTACAGGTGAAGAAGTGTTGACAAAAGTTTTGGCTTTTGAGTGTAAAACATTCCCATTCTTTATATTTAACAGATGTTTGACCAAGAAGTGTTGACAAAAGTGTTGAGTGTAAAACATTTCCATTCTTTATATTTAACAGATGTTTGAGAGTCAGGAATCAATGAAAAGTATTTGTTTCCTTTTCATTAAAACAATATTGGGAATCAATTTTCTGAATGTTAGGTGCAAAGTCTATTTACTGCTGCGTGAAAATCTAAATTCTTGGTTGTACATTGGTTGACTACTATTCCACCAAGCGCTCCACTGTCCTCCAATCAGAAGCCTTGCTTGAGTCTCAATATCTTCCTTATTAGTTTATCGTCCCTCATTAACAAAGCCACAGCGCCACCACTGCCGGGATGAATCATTGATCCAGACGAAGTGTTCCCCTAACTGTAGGGACAGGTGATGTCTTTATTGACTGCTCTATTGATCTGTGTGAAGTCCCCCGTGTGATTGGCAGGGGCTATTGATCTGGCACTAAGTGGCCGCTGCTGCTTTAATGATGTGTCAATGGACAGGCTCATCGACCTGCCGTCCAAGCTCATCATCGCCATCGACGTGGCCAAGGGCATGGAGTACCTGCACAACCTCACCCAGCCCATCATTCACAGGGACCTCAACAGGTGACCGCCGCACTGATTACACACAGAGACACCATGTGTGGTTTGTGTCTGAAATAAACTCAAAGTCTTCACCAATAATGCATGAAATAATTCTTTCCAGTCACAATATTCTGCTGTATGAAGACGGACACGCAGTGGTGGCTGATTTTGGAGGTGAGCCGTGTGAGCAGAGTTGGTGAATATGGCAGAGAATGGTTCAACTCAGAGCTTTAGGTACGCATGACAAGACATTAACAATCCAGCCTGAAGATAATCTGCAGGAGTCAAAACGTAACGTTGTCGACTGTCGAGGAGGAGACAACGTGCAGGAGCAGGACCTGAACGTCAGCACTGCTGACTGGGGTTTAAATACAGTTTTCTAATTTAAAAAAAAACACAACAACTCAGGAAAACAAAGCTGAGCTGCTCAACACACAGACAGAACTAGTAGAGCTGAAAACCTGATCAACAACAACATCAAACACTATCAAACAGCAACAAAAGGAGTCAGACACCAGAGCGAGGGAGCGGCAGGTCTATATATACCCAGGACACCAGGTGACAGGAGTCAGACTAATGAACAGGCAGAGCACAGGACACAGGTGTGACTGATTAAACAGCTAATCAGGGAGAGAGAACCAGTGATTACTGACTGATTTACTGACTGTTCAACTTAGAACACGAAAGAAATATAAATGAAATGAAAATAGCATTTAGAGTGAGAAAAATAAATGAAATGAAAATAGCATTTAGAGTTTAAGAGTTTAAATTAATCTTACGTCATGATATTAAAAATTGTTTATCATTAAAAATGACATTTATTAAAAAAATACATTGTGATGTTTTATTGTCTTTGTTCAGTTTCTTTTTTCTGTCTGTAGAATCCAGATTCCTACAGTCTGTAGATGAAGATAACATGACCAAGCAGCCAGGGGTCAGTATTCTTTTTTTTTTTTCTTTTGAAACAATCTGTTTAACTGCTGACCTCACACACACACACACACAGCTACTGTAGAAACATGTCGTTTTTTTCCCCTTCACTGAAACTCTTGATGTTCTACTAGAACCCGTCTCCAGCCCAAAACAATTTTAATTAAAAAAACAAAAGAAAACAACAACCCAACAACTGCCTGTGTGCAGTTTCCTTCTGACGGTGCTGACTCATCACTCTGAGTGCTGCTTGAACTGCAGTTTGATGTTAAGTGTGCTGCTTCTCCTGGGAGCTGCTGATGGTGAAGCGCTGCTTGCCCTTTCTGGGACGCAGTGTTTTTTTTGTCAGTAATTGGGTCCCGTTGTGTGTTTGTGTGTGTGTGTGTGTGTACACAGAACCTACGATGGATGGCTCCGGAGGTGTTTACCCAGTGCACCCGGTACTCGGTGAAAGCAGACATGTTCAGCTACGCCCTCTGTCTGTGGGAGCTGCTCACTGGAGAAATTCCCTTCGCTCACTTAAAACCTGGTAAATTTTGCTACAGCCATGGATTTTCATTATAGTTGGTTGTCCTGTTTTTTTATGTACCATCATTGCTACAACTTAGGGTTACAATAAATAGGCAATAAACAGGAGGAAGACCTGTAGTAACTGAGGGTTAAACAGTAGTTGGTTGGTGGTAGATGAATCAAATCAAACTCCTGATTTCCAGTAAACAGAGAGTCGCTGGTTTGGATAATCAGTCAGTGTGGACCAGTTCCTACTGGCTGGTAAATTAAGAACCGGTACAACTATGAACTCATGGTGTTCCTCTGACCTCAGCTGCAGCCGCTGCCGACATGGCGTATCACCACATCCGGCCTCCCATTGGCTACTCCATCCCTAAACCCATCTCTGCCCTTCTGATGCGGGGCTGGAACGCTTGTCCAGAGGTAGGGGTTGCCAGGTTGTTAATCAACCCTTCAGGAAATGTTTATAAAACCAAGCCATTTCTCCCATAAAACCTACGTGTTAGTTGTTAACGTTACTAACGTTTTTCAGATGGACGCCCGGTGTCACAGACATCGTCCGTTTGTCGTTATCTCACTGCAGGTTCTTTAGCTTAAATACGCAGAGTAAGCTGCTCCGTGCAGCAGTAATGAGCGGGACAGTGAAAGCCCCAGGTGGCGCTTTAACGCACGGCTGTTCATATTTAGGAGCATGCGTGACTTTGATGATCCTCCCTTGTTGGTGTGTGTTCATAATTACCCAGGCATGTTTTTTTTTCTTCCTCTGCCTCATTAAGGCATGTTATTACATGGCTCAGCATGTCGGCACCTCGCTCCCTCTGTGGTCTGTCTCCTTCCTGTTTGACAGTTAACGCTGACAGCCAGTTTATCTGTTGTCGTACATGCCTCCGCCCACTGTACACCGCCTTCTTTAAAGACCACAGTGGTGACTTTCACTGGTCATTTCTGGGGTGTATTTGTATTCATTATTGTATTAAAGCAAAACACATTTATCTTCACATGGACAGACATACAGTAGTCGTTAAAACTAGGGCTGTCCGATAATTTCGTCCGACCGATATTATCGACCCGATATTAGCATAATTATGTAATATCTGTAAGAATCGTTAGCGTTTTTTTCCTCCGATAATGAAAAACCCGATAAGGCAACGTTTGGGTTTCGCCAAATGATGTGTGCTCTAAAAATAGTTTCGGGGATAAACGGCTGTATATTAAAGTGAAAGACACTAGATGGCAGCATTGCAGCTCATTTTATTACTCTCATATACAAACAGCAAAAAGTTAATATCGGACATCGCTAGTTAAAAACAGATAATATACAGTAATAGACTTGTGTCTGATTGCTTGGAGTCATTTGATCATGTTTATTTTTTCTGTGCCTCAGGACAGGCCTCAGTTCTCTGAGGTGGTTTCCAGCCTGGAGGAATGCTTGTGCAATGTAGAGGTACGAAAAGTCACCCACCATCTGAACTGCTGGCCCCTGAACTGAGTAACACGGTCTTTAATGTCACAGCTGATGTCTCCGGCCTCAAGTAACAGCAGCGGCTCGCTGTCGCCCTCGTCCTCCTCCGACTGCCTTCTGGGCCGAGGGGGACCGGGTCGGAGTCACGTGGCCGCCCTTCGCTCTCGCTTTGAGCTGGAGTACGCGCTCAACACGCGCGCTTACGGTTCTTGGAGGTACGACAGAACACAAGTACTAGTATTTAATACCACATTAACACCACGAAGCACCGGGAGATGTAAGGAAATGAACGACAGACGTCAAGAAGGTGACAGCTTTCATTTAGGCCAATCAGAGCAGTTTTACACGCTGTAGGTGAATTATTCTTACAAAGGAATTCCTCGGACGTCACGCCTGGGCTTGTTGAAAGGACTTGTACGAAACAATTGTACAAGACAAGTGGCGAGTAAAGCATTTACTGCAACAGTGAGGTGTGAAGTTGCCTGGAGACCAAACAGGAAACAGAGACAGCAAATACAATGAAACATACATGGAATTCTGACACAGGGGGAAAGAGCTCAGTGTGTGTGTGTGTGTGTGTGTGTGCCACACTCTGTGTTTGTTGAATCCTGGCAACAGTCTCTCTCTCTCTCTCTCTCTCTTTCTCTCCGAGTCAAGTAACAGAGGGTGGGGTTTTCGTGAATTGCTATTGGCTTGTTTGTAATGTTCCTAATGGCGCTCCATTAAACGGTAGACTCGCAGGCTTCTTCTCTTCCTCATGTTTCACAGAAAGTGCAGATTCAATCACATCAAAATTGATTCCTATGATCAACGAGCTGTCAGTGCTGTTGTTAATTTTGTATGTGGCACTCCCGCAGAGAAAGTGAGAGCAGCATTAGTGTCAGTGGATTGAGTTTCGTCCGTCTCTACTGTATCTTCTCACGTATCATCTCTCCATTTTCTCAAAAGTAAAAAAAAAAAAACGGTTGCTGTTTGGACTTCAGTGTCTGAACGTTTCTGTTTTTTTTCTTTCCAGTGAGCGACGGCGAGCGTCCGGAGGTCTCTCACTGGAGGAACTAAGGAGGACTATGCAGTTTCCTCCCATTGATAGAAATGGTTTGTACGCAGAGTTCTCCCTCATTGGGTTGGCTTGAAAAATATTTTAACTTTATTCTGTCTTGACTTCTTTTCGGAAACACCAGCCTCACTAAAACCCCATCTGTTATTTTAGTCAAAGACTTCTTCTAATCTTCTAATCCTATTTAGGGGAAAACTGTTGGTAAAGCACAACACGAGATGAGACGTGTGACATTCTTTTGATCGCTAGAATTTTAATCATGTCAGTGAATAAGAAATATATTTGTGCAACAGTGAAGCTCTTCAGAATATAACTTAAATCTTTCGTGTTATCACATGCATCGTAACCACTGAAACCCAATCAGGAGTTACCCATAATGCTGCTGTCCATGTGTCTGTGTTTCAGGATACGTGTCCGACCCCATGAGCACCGTGAGATTCTGTTCCTCCTTCAGCAGCAGCGGGAGCTTTGAGGACAGTAACTGACGCTCCGTGTTGTTGATTTTATTTCGTTTCTTTGTGACACGCCCTGTTCCTGTGCAAGGATTTAATCCTAGTCCAAATGTACAGGTGGTTTTCAACTGATACGGTATAAAGTACCAGCAGTAGTGAAAAAATGAACGTTGTGACGGGATTGTTTACGTTTTCCTCAAATATCTCCACTTTACCGTCGTGATATTTGACATCTACGGCAGTTTAGGTCTCGTGTGTGTGTGGTTCTTGTAAATATTTGGTTCTTGTTTCTGAATTCATGTCGTTGGTTTCGTTTGTGTCAGTAAAGTATTTTTTGGTTGTCGTTGAATTTTTTTTACATCTATCTTTGTGGAAAAATCATACACTGCAAACTGTCTGACTTTACACACACCCTAATGGAATGGTTTGGTTGGTACGAGCAGCATCGTTTAAATAGTTTATAGCACTATGCAAATGATGTAAGTAGTTATGTTGTTAAGGAACAATGTTGCCACAAGTAGCAATTAAAATTTGTTTTTACTTTCGACGGTATGTAAAGTATTTGTAGCGTTACACCACAGGTGCTAAAGGAAACAGAAGCAGAAACAGCTCTGCCACCAAGATGGAGAGTGGTGAAACACAGTTCCAAATCCCAAGTCAGACACCATGGTAACACTAAGCACAACAACAATACAGTAAGTAGTTACATTAGCATCGGCCAGGTCACAGGGGGGTGGATTTCAAACACTGTTGTCCTCCTAACATCTTCATAAAAGATTGAAGATTTGTACACAAAACGGTCGACGAAGAAACTTAGAAAGAGAAAGAAACCCAGCAGTGCCATCAGTCCAGAAATGACAAAAAAAAAACAACAACAATGGGACCCAAGAAAACTTGTCTACTGTCCAGAGTAGTCTGATGAGACGTGGTCATCATGGATGACCAATGGAGCTGAAGTACAGAAAACAGTTTAAATCATTGTCTCCTGGATCATGGTGGAGGATGTCTACGAGGTTAGGGCTGCATTTGTAGCAAAAAGTGTCTGAGTCCAGAGCTAATAATCGCAAGCAAAAACTATTCATTTAATCGTGCAAATCCTTAGCAGCAGAACACTTCTATCGTGCAAATCTTTAGCAGCAGAACACTGACCCCCAAACATCTTATTGGTTAGTCATAATCATCCATTAGTTCTTCTGGGATCACAGACAAAGACAAAGACTTAAAATCTTCAGAAAGTCTTAAGATATTAGTTCTATAAATTCTAGTTCTCTCGATTCTAAATTTCAACCTCTGTTTATTCACTCGACGTTTGTTATTGATTTCTGCGCAGTATTCCAAAGCCCTTGACTGTGTCATCCACACCGACGTACAGTATCAGTGACTCAAAGCTGCCAAATTGTGCTTGTGTCTGGTCAGGTGAAATATAAAGTCCACTGGGGGCCATCATCGCTGCGGGAGTCCAAGCTCTCATCAATAATTCACTCGTTTGTAAGTGCCTGTGGCTCAGTGTCTGTTTACATGTAAGAGGTGATCGCAGCTGTAGCTGATAGCTCCCTAAAACTCTGTCGCTTTGTTTGTACAAAGTCTGAACCTGTCGATTGTAAACATTTGAAGCAGCAGTCACAACTCATCGTGCTGCTTCCTGTTCTGGTGATGTCATCAAGGCAAAAGAAAAAAAACGACTGCAGTGTCCCTGAAGAACCACTTCACGGGAAATTAACTATGAATGTCCGACATATTATTTTCCAAACACTTCGATATTAACCGATACCGATATAGGCCTGGTATTTCCCAGCTCCCCTGCTTATTCAATACCGATATAGGCTTATTAAAATTGATTAATAAAGTGAGCTGCAATGCTGCCAAAATGGATTAATAAAGTGAGCTGCAATGCTGCCATCTAGTGACTTTAACTTTACTATACAGCTGTTCATCCCCAAAACTATTTTTAGGGCACATATGGTTTGGCGAAACCCAGGCATTATGGGAGAAAAAAAAAACGATAACGATCCTTACAGATATTACATGATTATGCTAATATCGATCGGCCGATATTATCGGACATCCCTAAACTTAACAAATGATTGCACTGAAGAAGATCTGACATTCAGTTTAAATCAATAATTAAAGTAAGTTGTAAAGTAACCCTGGTTTTCCAATAGCAGTACCTGTTACACGAGGTACTACTACACCGACGGATGAAAATATATTTCTTTCCTTAGAAGAATATCTACGACTGGTGCTGTTTGAGCCTGAGACGTGGTCTTCTAATGTAAACTCTCGGTTCTTGCAGAACTCAGTAAAGGATAAGAGCTGTGACCTAACAAGGTCTCATCAACTGAGTAGGAGCTCAGTCCCTCTTTACTCAGCGGCTGTTTGGTGTCTCTGATTGGCTCTCCACTCACGCTGTCGGACTGTTTGACCGTCTGCACCCCTCTGTAGCTGGACGCAGCCTGACTTCCGTTGTCAGACCGGACGGCGGTAAAGTCAGGGTTCTCCAGTGTTTCTCTGGTGTCCTTCGGTGCATCGGAGCTCACTGGGAGATCGCCGGGCTCTTCTGGGACAAGACTCGGCGCCTTTTCGCCTTCTGTTTGACTTCCGTTCAAGCCTGGTGTTTTCTCTTGACCTTGTTTCAGGCTGGCCGTGGAACGTTGGGTATCTATGATGCTCTCCACTTCAGTTTTAGCCAAAACACCTTGTGCTCGATGCTCTTCAAGCTGATCTTCTCTGTCTTCTCGTAGAGATTCCTTGCTTCCTCCATCAGGTTCACTGGTCTCTGTCTTTGGACTCATGTCCTTCACCTCTCTCTCCCGG